GGAATCGAACCCACGGCCTTCCGATCATGAGTCGAGCGCACTATCACCGCGGCCAATTCCACATGTATATTTTCTGTAATGGGGTTTAACCCATCAAATAAATAAATTTCACATAATCCTCAAAAAAATGTATTCTAATTATTTATTGTGATATGCGTGAACTCTGAAATAGGCTCTCCATGATAGTATTGCTGAAGAGGTTTTTGTCTCTGATCAATATTTTGCAATTATACATACAGTTATTACGGATTAACAGAAATAATAAATAAACATCAGATCTGATAATGATTATTGAAACCAACCCAAATTGAAAAGGTGCTTTATTTGTACCAAAGTTTCACTTTAGAAAATAATTAAAAACGTGAGCCTGAAAGAGATCTTTTAACATGTACTACCCACACATATTATCAAGGAAACAGAAAATTGAGCATAAGCTGTTTTTTTCCTTCTCACAGGTACTATGTACATATGCCAGCTTCAACAAAGATAAATATGATGGAAAGGCGTAAAACCGTTGATGGAATAGACTCTTCAGATCTCAAAGAGGTAAGGATTCATTTCTATATGAAGGGCCAGGGGAACAAAGATGAAAGTCATTTTTCGTCGATTTTGAGATATTAGCGCTATCTAGGGGCTATGAAGGAGTACTATCATCTGGTAGAACAACAAGGGGGAAAAAGATGAGAATCGTCCGAAATGTGCATGAAAAGATTCGGGGTAAGGGGGACATGAAAAGATTCGGGGTAAGGGGGAAAATAGATGAATGTCACAAGCGCGGTAGAAGAAAGATGAATGTCAATTCAAATGCCCGGGCCACCGGTAGAGACCAGCAGTGTCGCGGAACCTTCCTCGCAATCAGCTTATCACTTGTTGAATCGCGTACTGCTAAATTCATATTGTTTTTGTGGCTTATTGTTTTTCCTGAATTGTTGGTGTATAAAAAAAATAATATTGGATACCAGCATCGTGGATACTCTGGTTTCTGCAGAGAGTGGTGATGAGGTGGGGAAAGTTCCGACCAAACTGACAAAAAAGAGGAAACCGACTGGGAGAATGAATGAGGTTATGAAGAAACTAAGGCTCTCTTCGCATGAACCAGGACCTGACTGTAAGTGTTCTCAGCTTCAATGTTTTCAAACTGTATCTGAATTTGCGAGGATGAAAATAAAGGAGTTCAACGAAATTAAGTCCTATGACGAACAAAGTTCCTTTCTTTCTGGACTCATTACTGTGCTACCCGTGCAGAAACGAAAGAGCATGGAAGGAAGTAGTCGCGAAAAAAAGGCTTCTTACGCTTTTAGAGTGAGGATCGATGTTGATGGGACCAACAGAGATTCACCTGTTTGTTTCAAGGCGTTCACGTCTTTTTTTGGTATTACGTCTAAACGAGTTCAGACCATTCAACAGTCATTAACTGAGAAGGGTTGCAGTCCCAAAGATAATAGGGGTAAACATGCAAATCGCCTTATAAAATCACGGATCAAATTCGTGATCTTGTGAAGGATTTCATAAATTCGTTGAAGGGACGGAAATCCCATTATTCTTTAAACGATTCGGACAAAATATATCTACCCGAAGATCTTAATTTGTTCAAATTGACCAAGATGTATAATGAAATTCGCAAAGAGAACATCGTACATTATGACTTATTCCGATCAATTTTCAACAATGAATTTAATATATCGTTCGGCTATCCGAGAAAGGATACCTGCAGCATGTGTGACGCCATCAGGTCTCAGAAATCAGCAATTGAATCAGGCACCGCAACCACTCTTCCAGACTCGCAAAAAATATTTGATCCCAAAAAGGATATACAAAAATTGGAAACTGAGCACAAAATTCACCTATCGAAAGCTGAAAAATTTTATTCAATTAAAAGGAATTTTAATTCAGTAGGTAGATTCAGAAGAATCTACCTACCCCCAACATAACGACCAACGACGTTTACTACAAAAGACAGCTCAACTTTTACAGCTTCAACATCCACGTTCTGTCTACCGGAGTTGCAGCTTTTTACACGAACGATGAGAGCGTTGCCCGTAAAGGATCCGACGACGTTTGCTCCATGCTCGATAATTTCGTGACCAATTTTTTGTCTGAAGAAGTTCATAATTTCGTCAATATTTTGCGATTCCTGTGCTGGGCAGAATAAAAATTATACCCTAATCCGATACCTTCATCATTTAGTGACTGAGAAGCATCGTTTCGACAGTGTTGAAGTATATTTTCCCATTCGAGGGCATTCATACCTCGAATGTGATAAAAACATGAGTTACATCAACCAGCAGACTTACATTGAGTTGCCCGATGAATGGAGGGATGTTATAAGAAATAGCAGAGAGAGGCCGTCGCCCTTTGCTGTGATCAACTGCCAGCAAGAACTTTTCAAGACATGGACAGAATTCTTGACGCCTATGTACTTGAAAAATTGCCCCTTTCCCACTAGGTCCGTGCGTTGTCATGAATGAACATCCTTCAAAAATGTTTCACCGAAACACTTTTTCTGGTTGTTACATGGACGCTGAAATCCTTTGGAAGCCACCAAAAAGGGGAAAAAACGCAAGAAAACATCCTACTCCACTTAGACCTTTAACTAACCTGTATGATGGACTATTGCCGATTTCTCAACCAAAGTTCAACGACTTGCAACACCTAAAAAGATTTTTGGTTAACCCTGCTGCGAAGGCGTTCTTTGAGAATTTGCCCACCATCAATCCAGCAGCTGTTCCGAAATCACTTTTTGGTCAATTTCATCTTTTTTCCCCCTGGCCCTTCATATGTTTGAACCATTTGAAATATATTGTGGAAAATTGAATAAATGATACCAAATTGGTATGATCACAGAATAAGACTTGATCTACGCAACTAAAATATATTGTTTTTTGTAGCACTTCTGGTTATACTTACTGGTAGTTCACATCAATTTTATCATTTTAGAATCTATATTGTACTGAAAGTTCTATCGAAATGACAGATGAAACTCTAATCCTCTTGATTAACATGTGAATTCAAACTTCAGGAAATATTCTTTAAATTAATTTCTGTGAATGAGGGGATATCAAATTCTGTATTTGTATTTGTGTTCTTATAAGAAGAATAATGACGAGGATTACTCTATAAAATGTATATGTCTTGTGCTCCAGTCTACAAATATTTTTTATAAGGGATCTATATATAAGATCATATCAGAAAAACAATATTTAGATTTTTGGAGAATAATAAATGTTTATGTATAAAGGTTTTGTGAATCCATTGTTATTATTTTGTTAAATTGTTTTATTTTCAAACCTCAAAGGAAATTTGAACTATAAAATATGTCAAAGTGTTTATTGACTTTTTGAAACACTCATGGTAGTACAATTTGTTCTCTGATTATAGTTTGTTTCGTCGGCCATTCTCCTTTCTACAAGAGGTAACCAGGTGGGATCCATTTATGAAGAGCTGTTTGAAATACACTTCTCATTAGAAATAAGAGTGTAAACTGATTCTTTATATTAACGCCTCTTAGCATATAGTTCATTAGCTGTCATTCTCGTATTATTTCTATTGATCCAGTGGTCACTGTTGGATTTCTAAACTTGTGACAGTTTTGATCTTGTTGATTGTATATTTCTGATGTATACTTGATACTGATCGAATATAATGGAAGAGCAGAGAATGTTCGCCAGTAAATTAAAATTTTTAAATCAATAGCATTTACAGCTTGTCAAATCTAGGAAGCGACTTGTAGCATATCAACACCTGCATACACTGCTGACAGAGAACGCATTAGGATAGAAAAGGATGAAATCTACCGTGTGACTTGTTGCACCTATTTGGATTTTAGAGTGACCTGAGAGTACAATCCTTGCCGCAAGTAGCAATAAGGATTGATGGTTTTTTACTTGATGGTCAATTATTAGTTTATAATGCAGTATTTACGTCATTGAATTTAAATGAGTTTGTTTTTCAGCAGTCTGTATGGCAATTAATTTCGGGTCTATTGAGGAAAGATAGAAATACTTATTCTGAAAATGTAATTTATTTGGATTGAAGATTAAATTTCAAAATGAAAATTTCTTGGGAAACATTTATTGAGATGAATGAATCCAAACAAAAATATAATTTAAGTTTTCCATGAGCTATCTTCTTTCAAACCTTTCTTCTGAAAATGAAGAGTTTTGAGTTCATAATGTCCCTCTGTAGAGAGATGAATAGTAAACGTTGAAGTTTTTTCCATAATGGAAACTGTTTCTATGTTCTTTTATGGGTGCTATGACAGTTTTAATGTTAATTGTCTATTTTTACTGTAATCTTGATGTGACTAATCGAGTAGAACGGAATAAGTTGAGAATGATCACCAATAAAGCAAACGTTAAGCGGTGAGCATTCTTATATCTGGAAAGAAGTGTATTTCAGACAGTTCTTTAGAAATGGATTGCTTTTGGTTATCCATATTAAATATGGAAAGTAACAAAATGAGATCGTTCAATCACATCTAATTTCATGCAGTTTTTTTTAATTTTTTGTATATTTGCCGTTTCCAAGATCCACAGCTTTAAAACTACACTTTTGTTGAAAGCTATTGTAAAGTCACAAGATATGTGCAATTGTCGGTATAACGTCTGAACTGTTATAAAGTGAAGAATTCAATGTTTGAGATTCAACGCATTATTAGCAACAGGCTACTATCAGAGAAATCTTTTAACTACATCCAATGTTTCAAAAAATCTCTATTCCAAATATCCTTTGGCATCTGTGGAGAAGATTCGAAAATTAGATGATATCAAAATGAAACTGCGAAATATATTCAACTTATTCCAATTTTAGAGACAAAATGTATTCAACTTATTCCAATTTTAGAGACAAAGGCAGATATTGACCTCTGAAAAGTTGAGAAAGTATCAATAACATTCTTAGCTCTTTTTTTGCATGCAAAATAATCAAACACAATAAGTTACTACATCTTTATGAGTTCTCCATCAGAATTTTTTTTTCACGTGAAATTTCTCAGTCTGAATTGGTCTTCTCTCGCCTTCCTCGATGTTATGGGATTCAAAAAAGGTAGATTCAACAGTGTGTCTGCTGCTGTTGATGTGGTTCTCATTGTTCCTGTTGTTAACAGACAAGTAGGCCTTTTGCACCCTATATATTTTATTAATATAATAACACCATTGTGTATAGCCAATTATGTCTGGTTCCAACCCACATGTCTGTTCGTAGGTATGTCTGGTCAGCTATTCTTTTTACATATCGATTCCAGATGGTTTTACTTACCTCGACATAGGTCTCGTCACCCAGAAGTTTTAGAGATATCAATTCCTTTGTCTATGTTGATCTTGTTGTAATTTCCAATGCCTGCTGCATTCCACAAATTAGTCATCTGCATATCAATTATGGTCCAGAAGACTATTTAGCTGCACTGAAAAGTTTACTCTCAGAGGACAACTCTTGGCTATCCATGGGTCATGTTTTACTTGGAGACATAAAATCAATTTTTTTTGTTGGGTCGATTTAATTCCTATGGACTTTATGGAGCCTTGCGACCCTACTTAGGAAAGCTGCATGGGAGGGGTTTTCCTTCCATTCACCTTATCAGGGATGCTGGTTAGGGACATCTCGTTCGCCACCGTGGATGCGCCCAATGGGGTGATACGTATATAGGTACCTCAACCAACCAGTAAGGAGTATCTTTACTTCAGTTTCACAAATGTTGATGATTCATTTTGGCAAGCAACTCTTATTATCATGGGAAAACAATATATTGAAATGTGGATTTCTGTTACATAAATAATGTGGCTTTAACATCTCCCTGTCGGAAACTTCCAAAGGAAAGAAGAAAGCATTTAAGTTTATAATAAACTCTGTATGACAAATATGGTATGCAGATAACACAATTCTGATGAATTAGATATCTTACTGTCTCTCCAGTTTTCATCAATTTTATATTGCTATTGTTGCCTACTACCATTATTAATGTCCTAATTTTGGTCATTAGGAGATATGAATATATCATTCAGTTATAAATTTCATTTTAGAAATGAGAAGTAAACACAAAAGTTTCATCATGTCACAATTAACAAATTTACACTTTTATTGTAGAACTACTCTAATCTGTAACACTTATCACTACATTCCTGTGCTTTCCTGTCATCTCAGTTCTGGCAACTGTTGTTCATGTACCTGGACCCCTTTTTAATTTTTTATGCAACCATTTACCAAAATTTGAAGCTATACGATTTTTTGGATTTCACAAGAGGGAAACCACCTACATATTATATTTTCATATAGTGAAATTAATCTCACCACTTTATTTTTGTCACCCTCTGAACAAGAAGTGCTTACTTTCAACAAAAGTGAGTTGAACGAAACGTTCAAAACATGAATGTCAGATCTCCTAGTTTACTAGTATTCATTTCTTTTACTTCACGTCGTTTCGATTGATAGTATCCAAAATCGTCTTCGCTTGATGACTGGACTTATTCCTTAACCATCTCTCCGCTTCACCGGCTTAGCGAAAGATTGCTGTTTGGCGGGAGTTGACTGTTTTCCGCTTTATTATGGGTTTCCATATGTTTCGTATCTCTACGCAAAGCTTGGCCGAATACGTCGTAGGAACTACCAGTGTTCCTACCTGTGGATGATCTCAGCTTGGGACCACTTGATGTTATGTTGATGAGTCCAAACGTGCTCTGCTATTTCCAATTTGCTGGTTTCTCCTCGCTGTGTGTGTTTTTGTGTAGGATTGGCCGCACTAACAGGAGTTTGATTAGTTTTCACGGACTTCTATCCGATATGTAGATGATCTTGCAATTTTTGACACAAAGGTCTCTCATTCCAATTTCTTTTTCCAAATTCACATCATTGATGCTTCAATTATAATATGCCAAATTTCTTGAATATGTAATTGATTATAGATATTGAAAAATTTGAAACTATTCAATGGATTGTCAATATCTTTCTGAACAGTTGTCAAAGACGTGTTTTGAAACAATGTACAATTGACAATTAGAAACATTTCGATATTTAAAAAAAATATATTTATATGTGCTATTTACCACTGTTTTTTAAATTCCTTTATGTTTTTTATTGTTTTAGTCGGATGAGGATTTGCAAATAATCGAAAATCAAGAGGATGTATCTAATGGGACAAATATACCGCACCCTTGACCATAAGAAAATAAAGCCTCGTACTGAAAAAACCTTCCGTTGTAATCAAATGAAAGCCATCAGAGTAGTTCATTAGTATTTATTGAAATTCATCCGAAAAAAAACAATATAGTAACTTCTTTTCATGTAAATGTTTTGTCAATTATATGTATAAAGTATTCACTTCTTTTTATTTATCTGTTGGAACACCCATCATACTGAGATATTGAAATAAATGTGGGTCAGGTACACGTAATATAATTATAACAAAATTGGTCAAGTGCAAAGGTGATCATTTGATGTCAAGTGAAAATGGACTTCTTTCTTAAATCTTCAAAAAGGCTACCCAAAGAAAAATGGTCTTAATGAACTGTAACATATGTTCATCTCATGGCAATTGGATGGCTGATTTGTGCGAAATACAAATATTTTGGCTACTGTTTTATAACAAATATATCTGTCTATTAAGACAAAACTAAATTTATTGTTAATTATTATCAAATAGTTTGAAACCAGACTCCAAAAACAAGACATTAGCAATCGAACAACGGACAACGCTGTTTTGACTCGCCATAGGTTTCATCAGTAGTGCTAGACTGAGACATGACTATCATTGAAAATTCAAGCCTCAGTAAGTAGAGGCGACGATATCTTCACTTATGAATACACCATTTATGGGGTTGCCAGAAATTTCGAATACCAATGAAAATCGGTATTAGCTGCACTATTGCAGGATCCGGAAAACGTTAATGGCGGAACGGAAACCGGAAAACTTAACAATCGGATCGTGGAACATCAAGAGCGCAACAGAAAGAAAGAAGGAGCTTATGGACCTGCTATCATGGTTAGACATAGACGTCGTGGCAATCCAGGAGACAAGGCTCAGAAACAACCAAAACTTCCGCATTTCAGGTTACAATACCTACAGAAACGACAGGCAAGGGGGTCGGGTGGCGCGGCTCTCCTAGTAAGGACAGATCTAGCGCAGCACGAAGACAAAACTCGAACTCCAGCTCAGCGAGGCAGTCGCTGCCAGAGTTAAGATAAGGCGATATGAACAGAGAGCCGACATAGCAGATCTGTTCCCAGATCACTATCTCTGGCGCGGTAGTCGCCCCAGAGGCCCCAAAGTTCTACTGAAGAGAAGACTAAGTCCCAGACATTCCCGACGTCGCGATAATGCAAAACATTCCAACATCGGAGATGGAAGTACTAGACGAAGGTTCGTCAGACCACAACTCTATCTTATTCACAGTAGGAATAAGCGAAAGGGAACCAGATGAACCAACAAAGAGAAACGTCAACTGGAACAAATTTCAGCGTACCGTCCACGACGCGATAGGAGAAATTCCTCGCATCGATACGAAGACAGGCAATTATCCAATCCATGGAGAGAAGCGCTCGGGAAGTCCCAGCCACGCTCTTCAGTCTACAAGACCACATTACACCGGAAATAATGGAGCTCATCAGAATCAGAAGACGCCTGAAAAGAAAATACCAACGGACTCGCGCTCCGATAGACAAAAGGTGCATGCACAGAGCCATCTGCATGGAGAATCCAGAAAGTCCTGAGAAAGGTTCGCCGAAAGCCATGCCCGCCAATACACGGTGATCAAGGAATTGTCTATACGGATCAAGAGAAAGCGGAAGCATTTGCTAACAATTTCGAAAGACAGTGTAGAGAAAATGATCTCCTTTACGGATAAAGTAATCGAAAACCAAGTCGAACAGACGGTACACGGAATAAGACGGCAGCGAAGGGACAACGCGCAACCCCTGGCCCCAACATCCCCCAAGGAAGTGAAAGCCATCGTTAGAGGCCTTGCCACTCGAAAGCACCAGGCCCGAACCAAATTCCAAACCGGGCACTGAAGGTTCTAGAGAGCACGCCAATAGTATTCGGAAGAATACGAAAACACACCAGTTCAGCGCTGCGTGACCTACATGAAGCGCTCAACAGGGACGACCCCAGATTTCGTGAAAGGGATAAACACATGAGGCCCACGAAGCAGAACCAACGGCCACCTCCAAGAGTCGCTGTCAGGCAGGCTCCGGTAAGTATAAAACTTATAAACAGATCACTAACACACACTTTCTTACAGATACACACACACACACAAACTTAGTTCGGTAAGGTTAAGGGAACCCCCATACATACATTACATACAGTAAAATCACAACAAATAAAATCAACAGATCACCATAGTGAAAGCACCCTAAGGCTGACTTTCGACCGCAGGATGTCAATCTTGCTGAAGTGCCCATCAGAAATTCTAGCTTCTGCACACAGTAACCATGTGGAGATATTCTATCTCAGGGCACTCAACCATGGGGGAACTCATTTTCTTTATTACGGATTCGACTACAGATCAAACACCATGAAAGCTTGACTTTATTACGGATTCGACTACAGATCAAACACCATTATAGCATGAAAGCTTGACTTTATTACGGATTCGACTACAGATCAAACACCATTATAGCATGAAAGCTTGACTTAATGTGGGAAAACCTTAATAGAATCAACACATTTGAGGTATTTGACACACCCAATCAGTTTTATAATTTAGAGACATTAGATGACGTTCTCAAATTGTAAAATATTAGTCCATCTTTACAAAATATTTGTTGGAAATTCAAAAGGGCAGAGTACCAAAGTGTAATTACCTGTGTTACTTTTAAACATTATATTGAACAAATCAGTTCATAATGTCTTATCCAAACATATTAAAAGCAAATTGCTCAATATATATAAACACGATATGAGGTGTGTTGCATTTTCAATTGCCAACAGCCCATTGAACATCGACATTAATTTTCTCTAAACATTGTTCTTCTGAATAAACAATAATTATAATATATAAAAACAATATAATTATATATCCGGCTCGTTCTTGTAGCTTTTGTTCCATAAATTATGGCGAATATCAATGTGCTTAGATCTTTCACTATTGTTTGTTGCTACATTTATTGCACTTTTGTTATCACAAGAGATCACTACAGACTGAAATTGCCTGGTTTAAATTCCTCTTCGAATTGCTTTAACCACATGACTTCTTGCATAGCTGATTCAGTTGTTTATTATGCAACATCATGTTGTCTTTCATTATAATTCCAAGAAATGGACCTTACCTGGTGCAAGTCGAAATACATATCCGGTTCAATATCGTTTTCCAATCAGGCTCAGAATATCCTGGAATTAGAATCCTTTGTATATATAGGTACATACCAAATCAGAATGCATCATTGCAATCAGGCAACGCAATTTTTTTAAACTCTTATCCAATGAACTTGCCATAGTTTTTGTTAAATTGAATAACCAATATCAACAGCATAAGTGATATTTAGTCTAGTTCTTTGAGATGCATATGAAATACTAGCAAAATAAATTTTCATTTTTTTGGAGGCATCTCTTAAGTATATTTTTAATTGGATCCGCTGGAGTCAAACAGGTTTGCAATTTACCATGGTGAACTTTTTCAGTATAGGTTTTATATGTTTTCTGATTTAGATATATCACACCTTTTTCTCGATTTCTAGTAATTCTAAGCTCAATACAGCTTTTTGCTTCCTCCATATCTTTCTTTCCAGAATCATCCGTTCAAGTCTTCCTTTGAATTTTCAGTTGTTTTTTTGTTGTTGGAAAATATTAATAAATCGTCCACAATCATAACATTTTTCTTCTAGGTATGGCAATGGATTATGGAATCGGGACCATATTAATGTCAAAATTCCATAGTCATAAGCATCAATTACCAACCTCACTAGTAGTTCCGTGTCAAAATGAATTGAAACAGGGGAATAATTCATTTTTAATTTTAATTTAGGTACCTTAGTACCTAAATAATGAATATTCCACAGAATCTAAAAAAGTATTACTATGAAAATTTGTATTTGTAATACCTGATTGTTTTAAGGTATTTAGGTGTCAAATGACCCTTTATACAGCAAGAATGGTAAAAACAGTCACGATATGAACATTTATCCACCTTGTGGTTTTTCTACTGTAAACAGAGTATTTGCCTCCATCCTAGTTTCGACACAATGAATCACAGGCTCTTGCATAATAACGGTTGGCTGAATGGTATGGTTGGCCGATTTGGAGGATGAAATCTCAATAACTTTGAAAAATTTGACTTCTGTATTCTCTTCATATAATCTATTTTTTACTACGCCCTTGTCATAACTGATGATGAAATGACTGACTAACGCTATAGACAAACAATTTCAGTAACCCTCTGATTCATATTCAATATTGCCCCTTCCTGTAGATATTATGTGCACTGACAGTTGTCGGGTCATATATAACGTGATATTGTAACATGACGCAGCCGGTAGGACTGAACCGAGAGAATTTGTCATTTGATTTGGGACAGGCTAAGCTATTTATGGACCCCACTCACGGTAAACTATCACCTAAAAAGGGAAAATGAGATTCAACCCGTCATAAATTAAGATATAGATAAGTCCATGATTCAGTAATTTACCACCAATCAGTGTAAGCATTCCGAGAGCAGTGACAACCACTTGAATACCAGACACAGATCTTCATCTAGAATGGAAATGCTGTTTTCTCTGCATTCACTATCAAAAAATTTCTTTCACGCCAATTTATGAATTCCTCTGCTGAATTATTCAGTTTTATTTTTGTAAGTCTTCAGGACTATATGAATCAGTTGCCAATGTAGTATCATCTGCATAGAGAACTGCAGAATCTGAACTGATATGTTCAAGTAGATCGTTCATAAATAACCAAAAAATGAGATCCCTGAAGAACTTCCAGGTCAATCTCATAATGTTCAGATTTATGCTCTCCGATTTTAACTCATATTTTTCTGATGCGCATGTATGACATCAGTCATGACAAGACTTTTTCAGGAAAACCAAAAGAATGCAATTTACTATTGATTATCTTAGGTCAATGACATCAAATGCTTTCGATAAATTGAAGAAAAGTTTTCTCACATCCTACTTTTTATCTAGCGAGTCGTAGATATATTCAAAAAAATTATATGAAGTACTTTCGGTCGACACTTCCTACCTTGATAGAAACCATGGTGATATTTTAACAGTTTTTGGAATTTGGATGAAAATGAGTAGGTACATGTTATCATAAACACACCTTTGAAATACCTTCCCGATAATGGAGAGAATTGTTATTGGTTTAAAATTACATAAACTAGAAGGGCCGCCTTTCTTGAAAATCGGGGAAAACCCCTGATTGTATAGAAAAATTTAAAATGTATGCTAGTTGTTTGGCGATATATTGAGCAATTTTTTCAACGACGTTTGTAGAAATGCAGTCTATTATGACAGAATTGGTGTTTTTCAGTGAGCTGATCGCTTCCATGACGTCACAATCACTTTTGTACATTTTATTAATTATTTTTGAACCGAAGTGGTTGCCTACAGCTATTTTTCTATTGTTTGCATAGAAACAGCATTTGCAACGATTATTTCATCTTCAACAATATCATCGTTTATATTCGTTTTATAACTCAAGTATTTTTTGTTTTTCCTGTTTTGTTCCTCACAATTCTCCAAATTTGTTTTTGTTTCTAATTTGTTTTGATAATATAAATTTTTTGTATAATTTAGTGACATTATAAATGTTTCGTTATATTTTTTACAAAAATAATTACAGATTTGTGCGGTTATCCTAGATAACCGCACAAATTTCTGTGAGGTATCTTGCATAAATATCTATCGGATATTATTCAGTATGGTATTAGCCGAGGAAGAAGTTGTTTTCCGGCAAGCATTTACCAGAACGTACGGTGTAGGTAGTTGGAAGAGATGAATATTTCGAAATTTTATTTCGAAATATTTATTTTCTAGTATCTCTCCTCGATACAGTCTTCAGACATGGTTTGATCTCTGTTAGAGTATTGGTACATGGGATGTTTGTTCCCCGCACACCAGGATCAAAACGAAGCCCAAAGCTTGCTCTGCTGGCAAGATTATGGTATGAGTATTTTGGGATGCGCATGGTATAATATTTATCGAATATCTCGAAAAGGGAAAATCATCAACAGCTACTATTACATAGCGTTATTGGAGCATTTGAAGAACGACCTCATTTGAAGAAAAAGACAGTGGTGTTTCATCTAGAGAATGCACCGTGTCACAAATCAATGAAAACGATGGCAAAATTGCATGAATTGGGCTTCTAATTGCTTCCGCATCCACAATATTCTCCAGATCTGCCCCCCAGCGATTTTTTCCTGTTCTCAGACCTTGAAAGAATGCTCGCTGAAAAAAAATCAGCGTCGATGAAAAAGTATTCGGCGAAAGTGACTCCTCCTATTTTGAGGCTGAAGACAAATCGTACTATGAAAATGGTATCGAAAAATTGTATGACCGCTATAATCTTTGAATCGCCATCGAAGGCAACTATATTGAATAATAAAACCATTTTTCATGTTAGCCTACGAACTTTTCAGGCCATCGGATGCCTGCTTCCACGTAGCCCCGCTGGATACGGGAATGACAGAATCACTTGTGGTTCTGTTATGCCCTAACTGAATGGCATCCCAAAGATGGCTCAATCCTAAGGTGTGTGTATCCGTGCCGAGAGAATGAATGGCACTGAGCCTACTAGCTGTCTCTACAGAACCTTGGAAATACCGGGCGCCCTCTCGTCATAGTATCACCTTGTCACGGTAATACGGGGCTCTGCCGTGGTTGACTTTCTTTCGCTAGCTATTCGTGAGACTTTTGTGGACAGAGTAGGTAAACTTAAAAATTATTTCTGACGTTGAGTCTACAGAAGAGATGGATGTCGAGCTTACGACTCTAACTGACCTCCCTGTAAATTTAGATCGGGAGCGAGAGCTTCTCAACTCTCCAACTCCTTATCCAATAACTGAACATAAAAAAGGTTTGTCGGTGCAGCCAGGAAACGACTGAGTCATCTCCTCAAGAGCGGGGTACCTTATGAAACCGCCTTGCACCAAATTCTTGAGCGGCGTACGCAGAATCTGTCTCAGGTGGAGGAACAAACCCACCATGAGCAGGTTAGCAAACGTTTGCGCTCAAGTGATGATTCACCAAAACCAGAGGCAAAAAAACCCTGCACGGTTGAATCTAAGGCATCGTCAGGTGTAGGTGACCTGCAAAAACCCTCATATGTGAAGGTTGTCGCGGGTATCAAGGTGGGAATCTTGCACCTTGACTATCCGACTACCTTATTAACGATGAAACAGCAGATCATATACTTTGTGCTTGCCCCGCTGGGGACCGAATCAGGTTTTTAGAGTTCGGCAGAGCCGTACTCTTACCATCTGACCTGAAAGACCACTCACCCATACGAACTAATCGACTTCGTGAAGAAGCTGGTTTATTTGGTCGAGTGGGAATAGGTGTGAGCCACAACAAACCCTTGTGAATTGCGGTGGAGGGTCGAATAGACCCACTCATTTTGGACCTAACCTAACCTAGAACCTAACTGAATATTACTGTAGTTTTTTCCCAACACCAAATCGTTATTTTTAACACCTCGACACGTGTTTCGATCACCAAGTGATCATCTTCAAAGAGGAAGATTAAAACTTTTAATCACTCGAAACACGTGTCGATGTGTTAAAAATAACGATTTGGTGTTGGGAAAAAACTCCAGTAATATTCATTACTACACCAAAGGTTCCAAACAGTGCATCATAAGTAGAGCCTAACTAGAGACCCAAATATCACAAGCAAATTTTATATCCTGGAACATCGAAATAAGGTTAAGTAATTGTTTATTCTCTATAGATACTTCCACGAGAAGTGTTCAACTAACTTAGCACACTTAATTTCACCAAGGGAGGTATGTGTCAGAAATATGTGGCAAAATACCGTGCATCGCATTTGAAGTTCAGCTTAATACATTTCGAATTACACTTTTAAAAAACTCTTCTATTTGGAGAAAGTCGTTCTTGTGAAGTATACTTCCCGAGTCGGTATTTCCGAATGAATACAATTTACAGCGAGTTAAATCCAACGTAAATCTCTATTTTCGTACAGACACTGCTTTTAGAGCAGACTTTCCTGCAGTGCTTCTGTATCTAAATGAAAAAGGAAGATAAGACCTCTCAACGTTTGATTTTGAAACCATTGATAATTAGAGATTTAAATTAATGAACGTCAGTCACGTATGAGGTTTCATCCCCCTCCAAACGTATAACTATAGGTGGGTAATATCAAATCTAGTGACAAATATTATGTATCGAAGAATCCATTGTTAATATAATATACACTCATTACTACAGTCAGAATCCATATTACTTTTAATTTCTTTCAAACAAGGTTTATTTATGGAATAAATAAAAGATACTGTGACTGCATATTTCTACCATTATTGCCCATATCAGTAATTTCCGAAGATATGCAATTCTGTGAATATTTTACCGGTTCAGCAAATAAATACCTTGTAGAGGTTTGAGGGGGTTTTCCAGAAATAAAAAAATGAATTTTTAAAAAGAATTCGGAAATTTTACGACAAAATATCGTCTGTGAATCGAATTTTATTACGTCGATGGAGATTTCCAGGTGAAATGAATCACCATATATCTGAACTGCCAAGTCATTTCATTCAAGGTTTCTCTTAATAGTACTTGTACTTTCATAATGTCTCGGATCATTTTTTTTTATATCTGAAATTTTGAAAAATTTCAAAGGC